TGAGTGGTTCCTTGATGTAAAGCTTTGAGTGCGTCGAAGGTGGAAAAGCACTATATAAAAATGTGACCATTCGACCACTAACCATGTATTGACACCTGTGGATTTTGTCTTATTCCCGCCCAGTGTAAAATGTGAAATATGCCCAGCTGGCGCCTATAAGTTGAGGTGATGGTGTTGTTTTTTCAGACCCTGTCAAACCCTGCCATGTGTTTACAGCCTTGTCATTTGGGCCTCTCTGTTGACTTCCCGTGGTGATTCTTCTAAAAGGTCCATTATTGTAACTACAGTGTGGCTCTTTGGAAAGTGCCATTTTCCAACACGGCTTTGCTTTTAGAGGCTGACCTTTCCCTGTTGCTTGTCCCTGTTTGGGTGTTCACTACCACATCCGCGAGAAGATGGTCAAAATACTTTCTGGTCCAAAAAGTATATGCTTTGTCAAAAATGTCACCCAAAACACAATATTTAAAGTTTTGGTTTGTGTATAAAGCATATTGCCTTCCCATCCCCATCTAGTCGTATTCTTCTTTTTGATGGTTCAGTTGGGATTGCCTCCATGTTGTTGTTAAACCTTGCACACATAAATCCATAAACTCATGAATTTTGGAGAAAGAAAAAAAATAAAAATACCAATGATACTTAGTAGCTGATGTCATCCACATTTCCAGGGGGTGTGAAGCAAATCGAAAGCACTACTACTCAAGTTAAACTTAATTGGACCATGAGTGCTCGGATTGATCACAGACTCCTGAAAATGTGTGGTTTCAATCAGTTTTGTATTTTTTTTTCTTTGAGATTTCAGATCTAAAACTGAAATCTAAAAACATTTTGTCTGTGTTTACTAATGTGTGCATTAGGGATGGGCATGATTAGTCGATTAATCAATAATTGATCACTAAGAATTTCATCGATTTTGTTCATTTTAATCGACAAACTGAATGTAGGTTGCTGTGCGTAGCGTGACCAAACGGGGGTCCATACTTGTAGTTCTCTGCACTCAGAAGGAGCGAGACACAAACAGTCGGTCAGTCTGCAACGTGCCGAAGTGCAAATGCATATTTAACGATGACTTGTACGAGAAATTCCACGACAGACAAGTGTGAGGCCATGTGCACATTGTACAAAGCAGCACATATGTTTCGGTGTCCAGTGGGAAAAGGTTTTGCCAGGTGAGAGCTGCGCAATGTCAATGATGAGTCCCCACCTCCCTCCCCCCGTACGGTGTCCTGGATTTGACAAACACAAATATGGTCACACTAACCTGTATTCCACTGAGTTGTGTCCTTCAGTCCGACAGAAGTTGACCGCATCAGCGCACAAGGGCTGTTTTTTTTTCCTTCACTTAGTTTATGCAAATTAGCCATGCAGTTTAAATTTTGTTTCTGTGAGAGTTGAGCAAATCTTATAATCTCAAACGGGCTGATGTGGCTCTGATGTGGTTATGGTTTATATGTCGTAAAGTTGAATTTATTCATGCAGATTAGTAGTGCAGATAGTAATAATAAATGTAGTTAATATGATTAAGTGAGATTCAGGAGCAGGACCACGCCTCAGCCGTCCTCTCCTCTCACCAGCGAACCACAACTCACCTGGACCACGCCTCGAATTTCCCAGGAGCCTGTATGTAGCAGCCTTTCCCATCATCCCAGTTTGTCTCGGCGAACTCGACCCCACCCTCCCATCCCCTATTTTGTCTTTCAGTCATAAGACCCCTACAGGGGGGGTCCCGTTCTGTCTGGGCCAATTTTAGATTGAGACGGAGCCCCCACCCATAGTCTCAACCCAGCCATCTCTGCCTCGCTTCGTACATTATCAATAAACTTCTTCGCACTCTGTCGTTGTTGGCGTGGTCCTAGCTAGTGAATGATGATAAATTTAATGTAAAAAACGTTAATGATTAATCGGTAATTCGATCTTTAATTCTCCCGGGGATTGATTAAGAAAATTTAATCGAATGCCCATCCCTAGTGTGCATTATGTCACCCTGGTAACTACTGAACATTCCGCCAATAGACATTCATGTAGAACACCCCCAACATGAAGTCACTGGCTGAGCATCAATACTAGATGAATAGCCTGAATGTTTTTTCTTACCATCCACATCGACTCCCCTGTCAAAAAGCAAACAACTCATTATTTCAACAATGTTTGACATTTAATAATTGTGTGAGTCATTATTATCTTCTAAAATATTCACAATATCCTTAAAAGTTGGGCCATTACAAGTGAAGCCATACTTGATCCCAGTGTGCTCTTGGATGTTTTGGCTGTCTGCGCTTTGTGCTGGTCCACTTAGCCAAGAAACCCCAAGGCAGTGCTCTTTCACCAGAGGCAAGGGGTTACATCAGTCACTCCACAATCGCACAAAAACAACTGTGTCTCCTGTACTTAAGAATCCTTTCAGATTTTTTCTTCTGTTTTAAAAGCCCCATTCTACACTATTTCCTGATCTATGTTATGATTTTGTTTCATCATCGAAAACATAATCAAATACTTGGAGTTGCGTTTGGTTTCATTCTCACATGTTTAATACCACAAACCCTGCATTTTCTTCTCGAGTTCTTTTCTCAAACTGAAAACTGCTTTACCTGGTCATGTCATGTGGTGATACCTGAAGTGCTCCACTGTGTTTTTAAACTCCATACACCATCACTTGAATCATTTGCATGTTTTCAGCCCTGGAATTGTCAATCTTTGCTGAACTAAACGTAAAAGGAGTTGTTGACTTGAATACTAGCACTTCACGACATCACAAGGCTGAACAGAGCGTTCTGAACTTTGGAGATGTAGAGAGATTCATAATAAAGGGTTACTCAAACATGTGTGAATGAAACAAAACACTACACTATAACTCTAGGCACTTGAGGAGGTAACAACATTATAGCATGGATAAAAGCTCACAAGTCTATTTTGCGCAATATAGGACCTTTTCATAAAAAAAACATAGAATAAATAAATAGAAAGACACATTTTTACCAAGAGAAAAAAAACAAAACAAAACATTTGAATCAGAAAATAGCAAGAATCCAAAATTTGTGTGCATGTCTACCTTTGCAAAATTGGATTCTTATCTGACAAATTAGAGTTTTGCGCCCATTCCTTGTCCACAACATAACGCAGCAATTTAAAAAAGTGTAGTGTAGATATACTTGTAGGCACGCTATTGTTCAAGCCAGGAACAAATCCATTATGATTAGCTTTAAATCACAGCATGAGGCATGATTATGTTACATAATGCTTGCTTCTAATTTATGTCAGTATTGAATATATGGGGGACAGTAGCTCATTTGGTAGAGTCCACTGATTTGAAGGTTGGCGGTGGTTTGAATCCCGCTCTCGTAAAGATGACATGGACATCCACTGACCCACAGGTGGGCGGTACGATTCCAGCTTCCACAGGTGACAGCTGAGACACTTAACCCACCCTGCATACGTAGATGCCCCTAGTGTCTACGTACACTGGTGTATGAATATGCGTGAGTGGGTGAGTGTTCCTTGATGTAAAGCTTTGAGTGCGTCGAAGGTGGAAAAGCACTATATAAAAATGTGACCATTCGACCACTAACCATGTATTGACACCTGTGGATTTTGTCTTATTCCCGCCCAGTGTAAAATGTGAAATATGCCCAGCTGGCGCCTATAAGTTGAGGTGATGGTGTTGTTTTTTCAGACCCTGTCAAACCCTGCCATGTGTTTACAGCCTTGTCATTTGGGCCTCTCTGTTGACTTCCCGTGGTGATTCTTCTAAAAGGTCCATTATTGTAACTATATATAGGACTTTTTAATAAAAAACATAAAATAAATAAAAAGAAAGACACATTTTTACCAAGAGAAAAAAAACAAAACAAAACATTTGAATCAGAAAATAGCAAGAATCCAAAATTTGTGTGCATGTCTACCTTTGCAAAATTGGATTCTTATCTGACAAATTAGAGTTTTGCGCCCATTACTTTACTCAAAGTTACTCAAACATGTGTGAATGAAACAAAACACTACACTGTAACTCTAGGCACTTGAGGAGGTAACAACATTATAGCATGGATAAAAGCTCACAAGTCTATTTTGCGCAATATAGGACCTTTTCATAAAAAAACATAGAATAAATAAATAGAAAGACACATTTTTACCAAGAGAAAAAAAACAAAACAAAACATTTGAGTCAGAAAATAGCAAGAATCCAAAATTTGTGTGCATGTCTACCTTTGCAAAATTGGATTCTTATCTGACAAATTAGAGTTTTGCACCCATTCCTTGTCCACAACATAACGCAGCAATTTAAAAATAGAAACTGCTTTGTGAATAATCAAGAAAAGTTTTGACGTCATCTACCTCACAAGCCGATCGCACTATATCGGATTGATCCAGCACTGTCCAGTACGAATATAAGAGCGTTCACAGCCCACCAACAATTTCTGCCTTCAAAGCTGCATTAGCGATTCCATTAAAATCCTGTCACCCTTTTTTCCTCTTTATATGGCTGTCGGCGGTGTCTAAGGAGAGGAGAAATCACAACCATTCAAATGCTAAGTGACTTTAACACTCCGGAGAATATTAGAAAAGGAACAAACTGCTCTATCATCCTGCATGGAGGAAATAGATGAGACCAGTGTTTTTGAATATACCTTTGCAGTATCTCGTCACAAGCCATTACCCTTGTAAAGATCAGGAGGAGCTGCCACCTACTGCAGACGCCACAGTGCCATTCTTTATTAAGACTTAACCATGTGCGAGAAGAGTCTTTGGCAGCTGCCTCGAGATTGTCTGCTTGATGCTAGCACATTTTCAGTCCCTTTAGCGACCGCACCTTTCAGACATTATAAGGGATGAGCTTATCATGGCCGCAAATAAATCAATGAGGTAATTGCAGCCAGGAGTACCACACTCTTGGGCCATGGGACAAGAGTTTATGAGTAGAAGAAGATTGGAGGGTGAAAAGGTGGACACTGCTAACATCAATCACTAAGAGAATACTTATGTGTGTTGTCTTTTTTTGTGCTTTGCAGGTCACAGATGGAGGGACGATTAAGCAGAAAATCTTCACTTATGACGCTATGTTTAATACCAATTACTCTCACATGGAGGACTACCGGAGACGTGAGGACCTAGTGTATCAGTCAACAGTAAGGTAAGGACTATAGAGGAAAAGCTTCAGATTTTAACTTTGATACTGAATGACCTAAAGGATTATATAAGAACATTATTTCCCATATAGGATATAGACTCAGTATCCTTTAGGCTTGAAACATTAACCCTCCTTCCAACTGCCCTTTATGTAAGAAAAAGAAACTATAATATAAGACATTATCTTTCTGAAGGCTGTAGAGATTATTACCTCATTGGCCAGGATGTAGTTTTTGGAGTACAACTTTTGCAAAGCAGTTGAGGCAGGGCATTTTATTAAAAAAACTTAAAAAAAAAAAGTGCAAGTGAAGACATCTGGATATGTGAGAGTCAGTGTAGTTCAGTTGTTCATTACAACTATTATTTTCCACAATATTTCTATGCACTACGCTTCTTCTATAAACCAATGTCATGCTCTGACAGGAATTCATTAACATGAATCACTGACAATTGCAATGCACATAGGTGTTATCAGTGCACTATGAAAGGAAGACTATTGCTTTACACAAAGAGAAAAAAATAAAAATAAATAACCAGACCTGACTATTGCACTGAATTATTTATATTTGGCCAGATGCATGAGAGAGTATTTAAATTATAATATTATTGTTTGGCTCTTTGTGGAGCATGTCTGCCCTTCAAGTCATATTCATGGCCACCAGCTGCCACAGTGCTATCACATAACATTTATTTAGATCAAAATGTAATCTCTACCTCTGTCCCAAATCTGCCAGGACCGATTGCTTTTTTATCAAGTTGTATGTTTCTCCTTTTATAGTATATATGTAGGTAACCTTGTCAATATTGGCATTGGTTCAGAGTGGTTTGCTTCCTCTAGACGGAAAGGCTAATGTCCATGGATGCTGACCCTGCCTCTAGATCAGGGGTGTCAAACTCATTTTGGTCCGGGGGCCGTATCCAACCGACTTTGATCCCAAAGGGGCCGGATCAGAAAACTCATGTCATATATAAACCCCAAAAATAACAATAAGTTTAAATATTTGTGCAGAGAAACACAAATCTATTACAGAAATCTTTTTTAATTGATGAACTCTTTCTTTTACAAAATATTATTATTATGAACAACCTGAAACTTTAAGAAAAATGCAATTTCAACACGACGTTTTAACATGAACTTGTATACAGGAATAAGTCAATTTTTCTTGTAAAATCCTGCACTCGGCTCCACTTTTCTCATGTTGGACATTTTTCTGATGAGGGTGTCACGGTCAACAGTCAAAACGATCGTCCTTTAAGAGCGTTTGGAAAGAGACAAGTCTTCATTTGTGCTGCTCTGGTGGGAGGGGCCACGTACAGAGACGCTGGAGACGCTGCTGTGATAAACACCACAGAAAATTACCAAGATTTTAATAGAAAATATAATTAAAATATTTTAGTAGAAAAACAGCCAAGGGCCAGATTAAAGGTCTTGGAGGGCCGGATCTGGCCCCCGGGCCTTATGTTTGACACCTGTGCTCTAGAGTAACCTTGTAACATCTAATACTATAATACTAATACTAGGTTATAGAACTGAGCCACCTGTAACTTCTTTGTTGCAATAAAAGATTGAACATCAACAAAAACACTTTAATATTTAGAATATTTATACAATCATTTCTTTAACATCATCCTTTGAAACCACTTAGCATGCTGTCTGTGTTCTGCCTCTGTATGTAGCACATGCTTATGCTGTATTTCTTGGTGTGTGGTGCTGGCTGCTGGACTCAGGATGATTTATCTGGACAATCCCACAATTCCTTTGGGAGATTGCCACATTGGATTGGGGCACACTCCCACATGCGCATAGATGTACAAACGTGGGCACAACACGCTCATACATATGGGAGCGTGTTACTATTACAAGCAGGTACTGAGATCTGTGTCACCGTGTACAGCTTGTGACAGGCATTCTCAACCAATTCTAATTCAAGAGAGATGCTCATGCACACATCCATACTTTTACTTTCACTATTTTTATAACTAGAAATTGTATTATAACCTGCTGTGTGAAATTACTAATTTGAGTATTATTGTAATAAATCAGTTTTACAGTTACATTTTGATTGTTCACGTACATAGGCTAAAAAAAAATCAACATCTATCTTATCAATGGTACTTGTAATTGCTCATAATAAGCAGTAATTCTTCTTCCCATACTCCTCCTTTCACATTAGAAGTCTTCTTAAGTGATTTTGATACAGTGTTCTTCAGATACTTGGACTTGTCGGGCGCTGACAGCCATTAGTGCTAATCTTCCCAAAGAAAAGAAGCAGCTGTAACTATCCAGAGAAGTGCCAATGCACAGATTAGTCTTTGTGAGAAGAATGATAGATGTGCTATGTTCCATCTATAGACATATTCAAGAAACAACCAAGCAGTTTATGTCAGACAAGCGCACATGAAGACTCAAAGCTATTGTTTTGTTTGTGTACCAACCAATTACTGCAGCCATACCAACATCTGTATCTGAAAGGTGCACTGTGTAACTTTTTGTTTGTGGGTCACCTCTTTGTTTCTATGGATATGTCATTACTTTGCCTAGAATGTTCCACATTATGACATTAAACAGCTCTGCCTTACATCTATCAATTTACAGATGGTTTTATAGCTTCAAAAATACCTAGATAACAGACATTCTGACTGTGAGCAGGGTTGCCTTTCCACAGATCTGACCTGCAACTTGGTCTGGTTTGGGTTCTATGATTATAAAAAGGTTTAATATCATCTTCCCAACAAAGTATAGTATAGTAGGCTATGATATATTATGCTAAATCTACTTTTTAGAGCTATTAAGCATGTTATAATGATTTGCCCTTGCCATTTACTCACTCACAATTGCATTTTGAGTGATTCATGTTTGCATAATCTTTATTGTCCTGCATTCAAGGCGACATTGCTTCGAAATTTCTCATTTGTATATACACTCTGTACGCCCACTGCTCTGTATTTCGATTTTTTTGTCCAAAAAAGGTGATAGCAGGGTTCAGCACCTCAGTGTAGCTATTCAGGCACAAATACAAATAAAACAAATCAAATCAGCTGCTCTCTAGTATGAGCGGCCTCTATGTGTAGGCGGATAGGTTAAGTAAAGTGCCATAAATACCATAAAAAAGTGTCTTCTTTAACCTTGCCTTTAATGCTTCTTAGAGTTGTACTAGTGCATGACCTGTCTGCCCCATGAATTGTAACATAAGGGCACAAAGTTAAAGCATTCAGCTACATGTCAAGAGCAGTGCAGAGTAAACAGGACAATGGCCAGCTCTCCACATACCAATGAAGGGTCCAGCCAGCTGAGGTCAGAGAGGAGCTCCATCAGCACAGCCAGTGTCCTCCTGTCCTTCGTCGAAGTCACCAATATGTCATGGTCCATCACCATCCAAGCAGCTGTGAACACAAACAAGTGAACACACTACCAGCAAAAGTTCACTATAGGAGCAGACATCGCTGGAGGACATGCTGCAGAAAAGTATATAGGACAGTTTAAAAAGTAAGCCATGACAACTGTTACTGACAAAAAGTCTTAAAGGGGACATATTATGTACTACAAAATATACTTTTTGGAGCTTTTAACTATGTTATAACTAGGGGTGTCAAATTATCGCGTTAATTGGGATTAATTAATTACAGTCATATTTAGCGCGTTATGTTTTTTAATCGTGTTAATCTCATTTTTAATCTCTAAATTTACTGTTTCTGTATGCGAGTTGCTTTATTATTAAACCAGTTTTTATGTGTTGTTGGGACAACAACACACACACACACACACACACACACACAAAAAACACATTTATAAATTTTTTTATTTCCGTAATTCCACTCATTGTCGGAAACCCACACAAAACGCACGCAGTAAGAGCGATGTAAACGTCCAGTAGCCACAGGTAAAACGCATTCGTGTCTTGGAAATTATTCTCCCGATGTGAAATATAAAAGAAAATAACAAATATATGCCTACAACTTAAATGTCACTGGTGAAAACAACCTGCATAGACTCATGATGTCTGCACTACTGTCCTATAGTGACCTGCCACATGAGGGGACACGCACACAAACACACACAAACACAAACACAAACAAACACACACACACACACACACACACACACACACAAACACACACCTTCATCATCATCATTACCCTGAGAACGCGCGGACCACGTTTCCTTTCGTAGACACTGCGTGGACACCGACGTGCTCCCGTGAGCCGCGTGTGAACCGTGTTTTCTCGCTACGCTGCGTAAACCGCGCTTCCTCCTGTGCGCCTCTAAACCAGAACTAATCCAGTCCAGGACTAAACCAGGACTAATCCAGTCCAGGACTAAACCAGAACTAAAACCAGAACTAAAACCAGGACTAAAACCAGGTCTAAACCAGAACTAAAACCAGAACTTAAACCAGGACTAAACCAGGACTAAACCAGAACTAAACCAGGTCTAAACCAGGTCTAAACCAGGACTAAACCAGGACTAAAACAGAACTAACACCAGGACTAAAACCAGGACTAACCCTTTCCAGGACTAAACTAGGACTAAAGTAGGACTAAAGCAGGTCTAAACCAGGACTAAATCAAGGACTAAAACCAGTGATCTCATATATAAAGCATTTCTCTATCAATAATATTTTTAATATGGTTAAGGAAAGACTGGACTTTTTATTGTCTTTAAGTAGACAAAAGTTATTATGTTCAGATTTCCTCGTCTTTGCTACTTTACAGCAAACAGTTTCTTATTCATGGAGACTTGGGCTCAACAGCCAAATTTGGAGAGATTTGTTAAACAATAAATGACTTTATAAAGTCACTTTTTTTAATCTATATGAGTCTTTTGATCTGCCACAATAATGTAATAATTAATTTAAATGAAAATACCTCAAATTGAAGGCTTTTCTCAGCAATTTTTAGGTGAGATTAAAATGAGATTAATTAGATTAATTAATTACAGATCATAATTAATTAATCTCTCAATTTTTTTAATCGCATGACAGCACTAATTATAACATTGTTCCT